CAGAACCACAGCCACAGAAACATCCCCACCACCTACAACCATGACAGCCAGCACAAAGACCATTATTTCCATCCAGAGCACAATGCAGACCTTCCCACATACCTCCACAACTGTCACACCTGTCACCCAGCCCACCACCCTTTTTTCTACACACCCCACATACTCCAAATTGACTCCAAGCACTACAACCCAAGTACCCAGGACAAGGGGCACCACAGCCTCTCCACCCACCGTGAGGCCCTCAATCACAACCCCAAGCACTGCGTCCACTACAGCAACCACTACAGCAACTACTGCTTGTGCTCCTATATGCACCTGGAGCAAATGGCTTGATGTTGATTCCCCCTCCTCAGGACCTGGAGATGGAGACTGGGAAACCTATCACAACTTTAGTGCAGCGGGAGTTTCAATTTGTGGACACCCTGAAGACATTGAATGTCGGGCAGAAAACTTTCCTAATGTTAGTATTGAGAACATTGGTCAAGTCTTGCAGTGTGATGTCAGTTTTGGCCTTGTTTGCAAGAATGAGGATCAGGTTGGGAATTTCAAGATATGCTTCAACTACCAGGTTCGCATTAGGTGCTGTGAGGAAAACCCCAAGTGCCCATGGACAACCACCATCCCAGGGACCACAGCATTTAGCACACCTTCAACATCTGTTATTTCTAGAAGAACAACACCCAGTGTTTGTTACTGCCATGTCTGGGAAAGGTATTATCAACCTGGTAAGTTGTTACAGATTTCATATATTAATAGAAGTAATTTTTTCTCACTTTAATTTTTATTTTTTACTAAGCAGGATAGTACAAGAATTTTGTTTTATGGATATCAATTATCTGCCATCCATTAAATGAAATATTTTTGTCCTTTTTTGTTTCGTTTTCATGTTGCACACTATTTTCTGTGGTTTTATATTTTACAGGTGAAGTGATTTACAACACCACAGACAGTGATGGATGTGTTTTTTACGCCATTTGTACTAGCAATTGTTCAGTTTCTAGATTCCAGGAATGGTGTAATACATCCACACCAGCAACAACAACACCAGCAACAACTATTGCACAAACAGTCACCGTGTCTACTATTATAACACCCCATACAGGATGCCAGAAGATCAAGCCACATAGAAAGGTATTTGTCTCCTTTTCTTTTTTTAGTCTTCAAAGTTGTTTTGGTAATAAATCTGTATCAATGTAGAATGTTTATGTATTTTAATACCGAAATACCATTTGATGTTTTCAGTTATTTTTTACAGCATTGAGTTCAAACCCTCATAAGATATTTCTAGTAAGACTTGGTTATTTGTGCAACTTTATAACTGACAGTGAGAATTAATCTCCTAAAGTGTGTTTTTAATTGCAACTCAAATGCACAAATGTTGATATTCTTTATCCAGCAAGATCCCAATTTTGCCGTTATTTACACTGAAGTAAAGGAGAGGCTTGCCCCCCACCCATACTTGCATTCATTGCTTATGCAAAGGACTGAAAAATTTGACATTGTCACAGGTAGTTTGGAAAGCTTTGTTCCTGGTCTCCTGTACCCTTACCAGCATCTCTATACATCCTAAACTTCCCCTCTTTCTCATAAAGTTGGTTGGGCTGCAGGGTAGAAGCTTTGCCCAGTATATGAATGGTCATAGTGGTCCTTGCATACACAAACCATCCCTGGTGTCATCTGCAATCACCCTGTGAGGAAATGTATTAGGGCATGGACTTCCTGTGACCACAGCCAAGACTTAGGGTGTACAGACTACCTATACAAACTTTCTTTGATGTCTCTTCAAAATTTGTTGCATTCTGTGTTCTTTCAACTTGATGAGACCATTAAACGCTGAACAGCTGAATGTCACCATTCTGCACATACATTGCTAGGATTTAGCTTTCATTTTTCTGCCCCTTGCAGGAGTATCATTGTTACCATCAGCTGAAGCAGAAATGATACCTGGAGTTAAGAATGCCTAACTTTCTCAAATGTGAAGCACAGGGTTCAGATATGACACTTAGACAATTTTAAGTGTGGTTTAAACCACAAGTGTCTACATGAACAAACCAGCTCAGAATGGGCTAAATCTCCTGGAATAATTCAAAAGTATATCTGCATACTTAGCTATTATTTTGAACTAGTGCTTCACGAACCAGTTCAGCTTTATATGCAGACAGCAAGCTTTCCATGACTAGTGTTTTGTTGGTCCTCTAGGCATCCTACATTGCACTGTTCATACTCCTCTCTCCCATATCTCTGCATGGCAACTGGCTGGTCTAGTACGGAGTCAGACCTCAACAGCACCAACCTCTATTGCCTGCACTTAGCTACAATGTGCCCATTTGGGGATGGGAGGCTATGGTGCTCCCACCAGAAGCAGGGTGGCTCCATGCTTCTGGTATCCCAAGGGTGGGATCCTCTGGGGCTCCCCATGGTGTGTGCCTCCTGCTGCATCCTTAAAAGAGCACTTTCCCCCAAAGACTTTCAGTTGCTGGTGATGGACCCTTGTCTGTGGTATCCCAAGCTGATTTGGGGTGGAGGTGTTCCTCACGAATCCTGCCCAAGGTCTCCATTGACTTTTAAACATCACTTTTCCCCAAGCCACTTGTTAATTTCTTTCCATTCCTCACAACAGACCAGGGTTTGGTGCATCCAAGACTGCTTTGGGGTGGAAGGGTAGCCAGGTGGTTTGAAACTAAACAATAAAGGTCCAGGTAGCCACCCTTCCAACCTGGCCACCCCTTCACCCCCACCCCAAATCAGCCTGGGATGCCACAGAATGGGGTCCACTGAGGGCAGCTGAAATTAATAAGGAGTTTCTCGTGAAAGTCTTCATAAATCTGCCTGAGACAGAGGCCTTGGGCAACCTCAGGAGTACCCATCCCCCTGGGAATGCAGAATCAGGGGGACGGGGGGCAGAGGGATCAGGCCCTCCGCCATCTGACCACTCCTCTACTCCCAAATCAGTTTGGGATGCACCCAACCCTGGTCATCTGACAGGAATTGAAGTAAATTGATGAGTGCCTTAAGGAAAACTTTTATTAAAAGCTGAGAAACTCTGGCAGCACCACCCCCCTCCCACACACACACACACACACACACACACACACACACACACACACACACACACACACACACACACACACACCCAGTAGCCTAGAAGCAGGAGTCCAGGCAGGTAGGACAATACATATTGCAGTAAAGTGTAGGAATGGTCTTTATCAAATTCAATTGCTCATTATTGAACTCAGGGCTACTGAGAACGAGGATTCAGAAAATTGCAGTTGCAGGCAATTGATGTCATCTTGTTCCTCTTTCATGGAGTCCAGGCAGGCAAGTTTTTCCCTTGCTCAGGGAATCCTGGGGAAACTCTGGGCACTTGCCACTGAGAGGCATGCTGGGCCAAGTGCTCACTACCATCCCGTGGTGATAGTTCAACAGCATTGCACAGCCTAAAAACAGTGCTTGGAACCCTTGGTAGTGTATGTGTGGACACCTCTGACCAGGTATAATTGAGAACTCATTCCTAATCAGTGGCAACCTTGAAATAATTAAACTGCTATGTGTGTCTGTACAGTGTTTCAGTTGTGTATAACTCATTTTCTAGGTTACCATACTCCTTGGCTGGCTTTTATTTCAGACTGAATGGGTTTAGAAGGTCTAGGTAGCAACAGAAGAACTGTTTCTGGTTATTTGGGTAGTATATAATGTACTGCACAACTAACTGTTTCCAAAACCTGTAAAGCATGAGTGACAGTCATTAAAGAAAAATATATGATTTTTTTCCTCCCCAGTTCCACCCCTGTTGCAAGCATCATGGAAATACAAATCTGGATAAAGCTCAAGTATAATTATAACCTTTTGTGATACCACTCCCTTTCTCTGTTACAGAATGGTGAGACTTGGAATCTATCTAACTGCACAATAGCCAAGTGTGAGAATGACACGGTTGTTGTAGAAAACAGATATTGCCCTCCTGCAAGGGAAATTACCTGTGCAAATGGATACCCACCAGTATTGGTGACTGATGAAACTGGCTGCTGTCGCCACTATGAATGTCAATGTAAGTGACAAGTGAATTAAGGAGGCAAACACCTGACACTGCACAAAATAAATAGAATAAATGGTGCCATTGTTTTTTTAGCCTCAGTTTCCAAATTCTCATTTCTAAATTCACTTTAATTTTAACCTTTCACACTGTTTTCTCTTTATCAGGTACATGTAGTGGCTGGGGGGATCCTCATTACCTTACTTTTGATGGAACCTATTACACCTTCCTACAAAACTGCACATATGTCCTGGTGCAGCAGATTATACCTGTGTACGACAACTTCCGGGTTTACATTGACAATTATTTCTGTGATGCACAAGGCGGACTTTCCTGTCCTAAAGCCATTATTATTTTCTACAATTCTTCAAAAATAGTGATGACCCGTGAAACTGGTAGTGGAGTTCAGGCTAACAAGGTAAATTATAATTCTTTAGGGTTTTCCCCCCATGTTTCCCATTTCAGCCAAGGAGAAACAGGGTGTGCAGGCTGAAACTCATTTGAAACCCTGAGTTCATTAGTGTTCACTATAATATAGACACAACTTGGGTAGAGAGCCTCACAGGGCAAAAAGATCAGGCCAATTCTTGAGAATAAAATATATCAGAGAAGGTTTTGGACCTCTTGTCACTGGAAATATAAATAAAATTAGGAAACAGACTAATACATTTAATAGAAATACATTCAAAATAGGAAAGAGGCTTACAAAGCAGGGGGCATGTAGAACTGTAAAATGTATAGGACTCTGAAAAAAGTTTCATTACAATAATTTGTCACACAACAGGTGCACACACAAATGTCAGTGAGTTGGTTAAATAAGGCTTGAGTAAATTCAAAAGATCCCATTTTGGATCACAGAATAAGACACAATCCTTCACTGCCACAGAGATTCATTGTTCCCAGAGGGCTCCCATCTCATGCAAATGCATATACTGCATATTTGTAAAAACATTAGGAAGCAATACAAATAAATACCACAGGACCAATTTTCCCTTGAATAGACAAACCAGAATTCAGCCCAGGAGTGGTATCTAAATAGGGACCTATCCCTTTAGTATGGATCTCTCTCAATATCGATCCACATGAATGACTCCTTCCCCATTCCCTTCCTGAATCAATGATGTGATTGAGGAGAAAGGTATGAACTAGAGTGGGCTTCACCCTAGAGATACCAAGTGGTTGTTGGGAGCTGGTGAAAATGAGAGGTTATCTCAAGCTGCCCTTGATTCTGGGGATGGACCAGGCACTTAAATGACCAGGATGAGTGGAAGGGAAAGATGTAAAAGTGCTTGCAATCTCCTTCTGTGAAATTATGCCAAGAATTCCAGGTGCAGTTACAGACAGGGATAGAGATGGGCATGCTGAGAATTGTAGTCAGATCAGAAATCAAGTCTGAGAAAAATAATATGTGAAGAATAGGTAACTGTGTCACCTTCCTCTCAGTCAAATGAGAAAGGAATTAAGTTTCTAATGTGGAAAATCCTTCAGAAAAAAGTCACTAACCAAATGTTTATACTTTTGTTAAAAACCAGAATTTGTAACCACCCAGTATCTTTAACAGTTTAGTTTAAATAGCAAAAATGTAGTCATTAAATAAAAATTATGACATTTAATTTCATAGTTACGAAATAAAAATTATGAAATCATTATATTAAATAAAAATTACTACAACGGAAATTGTCCCCATACAGTAACTAATGATATTATCAGTCATTACATTTTGCTGGGGAATAATGTATCTTAGCATATAACCAGCACAAACAGAATATAACTAATATGCAGAACAAAGCTAATTGCACAGGGTTGCTTTAATAGTTAATCCTGCAACTCAAGCACAAAGGGACTGTAAAGCAGCAGAGAGAAAAATTAAACAATGTGAATTATTGTTATGAAGAACTTGTGTGGAATATGAGGAACAGTAATGTGAGTGGTAAATGACACACTAAAAAGGGACTCCTGCACTCATATATTTTTTCTAAACCTCACATGCAGATTTATTTCAATGAAAAACTTGTCGAACCAGGCTTCAAACATGATGCCATTTTGATTGCCACACGTGGTATTCAAATGATTACTGAAATACCTGAGATTGGAGCCATCATCACATTTAATGGATACATCTTCTCAATACAACTCCCCTACAGCAAATTTGGCAACAACACTGAAGGACAGTGTGGTAAGGATTTATTAACCCCTCTCTTTCCCACTTCCTCTGTTTTTGTTCATCAGCTCTTCAGGATTATCACTGACAGGAATTTGTCAAAGGGAAGTAAACTAAAATTAGGAAACCTGTTGGATTTGGTTACTGATATTCCATTTGCTCAAAGATATGGGCTCAGAAGCTAAATATTACAATGACCGAAATTTTTATTTTGGTTTTAATCTTGGAAAAACAAGACTAAATAAACTCAGTAGAGATTAAAATATATTACCTCTCAGCGATGCAATCTAAACATAGAAAGGGCCCAATTCTTTCCATCTGTTAGGTGCCTAAGTGTTCTCAAGTCCCTCAAAAAACCTTAATGCACCTACTTCTCTAACACAGCATCATTATAGCTTTAAAGCTAAGTCATACAAAGTAGCAAGCAGGAGAGAGATGCCTCATCTTTTGTATTAACTTTTTTCATGGACTTGAAAAGGGTAGAATAGGATTACACTTAGCCACATTATTAGGTGACATCTTATTCAGCAGCTAATAAGTGGAATAGGATCATACCCAAAAGCATGCACACCAGTTTTGAATTTGATCCTAGCATAATGTCACATATTTTGTCAGTAGCTTACCTGCCTTCTCATCTGGTTCCTTTTGATATCTTTCAGGCACATGCACAAATAACAAATCAGATGAATGCCGCTTGCCAGATGGTCAGATCATTTCTTCTTGTCCCAAAATGGCTTATCATTGGAAAGTTTATGACAATCAGCCTTGTTTGACACCACCACCTACCATTACAACACCTCCTCCACTTATCCTGTGTTATACTGCTGAACCCTGCCAGATTATTTTGAGCAAGTAAGATCAAACCTGAATTCTTTGATCTTCTCTGACTTAGGCAAAATTATTCATGTATCTGAGAAAAGCTTGTGGGGGTGGGCGGGCGATAAGAATTATATCCTCAAGAAATACAGGCCAAAATCTAAGGTTTCCTGATGCACATCTCTGATGGCTAAACAGTTATGTCAGTTGCATGAGAGAACAAATGTAATGAAAGTGCTATGCAAATGATTCTTGATGTGAAGGAGCTTTTCAGAGTTATCGCACAGTTCTCTGTGGGAAATATTAACAGATCAGGGATTTGGTAAGTAAAAAAATTCAAATTTTCTGGGCTGCATAAAATAGCTCAAAATTGTTTCTTTTAACTACAGAATTATTTACCTTCCTATCTACATTTCAGTGTGCATGTCTATGCATGCATTAACGCACGTTACCTAATGCACATTAAATTTAGTACCTTCAATGTGAAGTACTAAATAAATATGCATTAGACTGCCCTAATGGACAGTACCAAAAGCACATTTTTTAAGTGATGCTTAATGTGCCATAGCCTATTTTACTCTGCATTAGCATAATTGCACAGGGTTTTTTTACGTGATGCTTTAATGCACAGTAAAATAGGCTCCAGCACATTAAAGCACATGTGTAGATGCACCCAGTGTATATCTATTTATACTCCAATATCCTTTTCCAAACCATAACTTCATTTTAAATTTGTCAGATGCTTTCTATGGAAGAGAGTAATGAGTCTGGTCTGTTAACAGCTAAATGGATAAATAGATACTATATTCTATAGGAGTCTTAAATCATAGGTACATTGTAAATAATAGCTCTGATGGCTTCAAACTTCCCAGCCTTTCCATTCTTGAACATTTCTCCCCAATTTGTGCCCCTTTTTCAAGCTCAGATAAATTTCCCCTAAGAAGCTCCTTTCTTAGGAGGAGAAAATATACATGTGTGGTGTCTACTTGGGCTAGAGCAGATTTTGTATACAGACCAAATGAAGTGAAACTGATTTTTTTTCCTGTTGCATGTAGAGTTTTTGAAGAATGTCATAAGGTGATCCCACCAGAACCTTTTTACAAGGGTTGTGTTTTTGATGGATGTCGCATGAGGAAGCCCGCTATACTGTGTTCAAGCTTGGAGATGTATGCTTTTTGGTGTGCCAGCAGAGGTGTTTGCATTGACTGGAGAAATGAAACCAATGGGACATGCCGTAAGTACAGTAGCATTAAAAAAACTGTGTGATAATGAAGCACGTGATTTGTTATAATGGGAACATATTAAGTTGGTCCTAACACAAAATCATTGCATAATATGCTATAAACCATAACAAGTCTATCTGGCAATGTCCTTGCCTCCCCTGTATTTTACCAGTGGCATATTTTAGGGTGTTCTTGGTGTTTCTTATACATGAGGTTTTAGAGTGGTTGATTTTTAGGACTCTTTGGGCAAATTGCTGCTTGGGAATGCAGGGGACTGGACTCCATAACCTAGGAGACCCTTTCCAGTCCCATGCTTCTATGTCCTGTATTATGTTCCTATCTCGGTGGTTTAATAGGAACATTAATCAAGGGATGCAGGCTTTGGAAACAATATTTACATATTTAACTCACATTGGTGTTAATATGGAGCATCAAGGAGCTAGTTCTATAAATATGATATTCTGATCTTATATCAGTATAAATCTAGAGTAGCTTTACCGAAGCGTGGTAGTTAACGGAACTGAATCAACATGGCACACAGTGACCAGTGGTGTCCCCCAAGGCTCTGTTCTCAGACCTGTTCTTTTTAATGTATTTATAAATGAGCTAGACTCTGGTGTCAGAAGTGGACTGGCTAAGTTCACTGACAACACCAAACTATGGGGAAGAGTGGAGGATAGGCTGGTGATCCAGCCTGACTTCAACAGGCTCGCAAGGTTGGCAAATGAAAACCTGATGGCATTCAATATGAAGAAATGCAAGATGCTCCACCTCGGGAGAAAAAACCCACATCACACTTATAGGCTTAGCAGTGCTACACTCGCTAGCACAATGACTGAAAGAGACTTGGGGGTCATGATTGACCACAAGATGAACATGAGCCACCAATATGATGCTGCCGCCAGCAGAGCGAATAAAACTCTGGCTTGCATCTATCGATGCATCTCAAGCAAACCCCAGGAAGTCATCCTCCTGCTGTACTCGGCATTGATGAGGCCACAGCTGAAGTATTACATCCAGGTGTGGGTCCACAATTCAGAAAGGATGTGAAGAAACTTGAAAAGTCTGGAGGAGAGCCATGTGCATGATCAGAGAGCAAGAGAGCAGCCTTTATGAAGAGAGGTTGAGTGCCATGGACTTTTCAGCCTGGAGCAGCATAGGCTCGGCAGTGACTTGCTGGCAGCCTATAAGTACATCAGGGATGTGTATCAGGATCTGGGGGAATGCCTGTTCACCAGGCCCCCCCAAGAGAAAACAAGGTACAACGGTCACAAATTCCTCCAAGACTGTTTTAGGCTGGACATAAGGAAAAACTTCTTTACTGTCTGAGTCCCCAAGGCCTGGAATAGGCTCCCTCCAGAGGTGGTGCAAGCACCTACTCTGAACACTTTCAAGAAACATTTGGATGCCTATCTTGCTGGGATCCTTTGACCCTAGCTGACTTCCTGCTCACTGGGCAGGCAGCTGGACCCGATGATCTTGTGAGGTCCCTTCCATCCCTAGTGTCTATGTCTAATTGAAATGGTTATGGATTTACCCAGATATAACCAATATTAAAATCTGGCCAGTTGTGTTTTGGGAAAGGGAAAGCCACTATTTCACTGTATTATGTTAGTACCCACCTAGTCATTACATGAAACTATACTATTAGATTTCTGGAAGGGAAAAAAGTGGACTGGGCACTTGTAAGTGTAAAATGGTGATACAGAATACAGGGATAAACTAAAAGTCATGTGTCACAACTCAGCCTACCCACCAATCCTTAACAGTTGTGAAAGTGAGCACATCTACATTAGGTGCTGACTGCGCAATAGCCAAATAATTCTGCAGCAGCACGTCACAGCACTGGCAGTGCTAATACGCTACTGCACAGTACTATTAGGCTACTGCACTATAGTGTCATTTAAAAGACATTCGCTGGCAGTACTGCACAGTAAGTCCAATTACTGCTCATTTATTTACTACTTGCTTATAGAACTATTAAATAAATGAGCAGTAACCATTGTACAGTAGTGTCTCATGTAGACATGCCCAACGAATATCCTACTAGCAGAATTTGAGCTTGAAAAAATGAGGTGTTCACTGGGATACAAAGGATCTCTAGCTGCAAAAAGTAACACAGATTCACCTCTAAGGCATTTAATATAGGTATATTTTCCCTTTTCCATACAGCATTCACCTGTCCAGTGGATACAGTGTATAAGCCATGTGGACCTCTTAATCCTCCAACTTGTGACCCAAGGTATGGGAAAAATCAGTTCAGTGTGTCCTAATGGATCTTTGTCATGTAGGTTCCTTAACAAGTAAAGCTAGTCAATTATTCACATCACAAAAAATATTGCCTGGTGATTTTAGGACTTTGGGATGAATCATTTCACTATTGAACCAAAAATCAATTAAGAATATAACCCGAAATTCCCATTTTTTTTTATTTACAAAGCTGATTGTTTCATATATATGCATTATCTGTAGGCTGTGACATATATCCATTATCTGTAGGCTGTGACCTCCTGCACAGACTGCACTTAGTTGTTTAATGACTACAAGAAAAAGCAGTACAGTAAGGTATGTCTTTCTTACTGTTACAGGGCTGTTCAACTCAGCGGCCTTGGCCCAACTGAAGGATGTTTCTGCCCTGAAGGAAAGACTTTCTTGCATTCAGATAGTGATACATGTGTCTCTCAATGCTGTGAGTACTATGTGCTTTATTCTCAGAGCAGGGCTCAGATAGGGCTTTGGTTGGCAGGCAGGGCGTTGGTGTTCTATTGCCACCTTTGCCACGGACTCTGGCCAGCTCACTTCACCATCATTCTTGCTTAAGTATTTTGAGATCTACTGATGAAGAAAACCTATATAAGAGCTGAATATTTTTGTTATTTATCTAGAACCCTGATCCAGTGTCTGTTTGCATCAACAGTCTTTCCATTGACATCTGTGGGTGCTGGACTGCACTCTTGGATTTTAAAAGAATGCTGAGTAGGGCGAACTAGCATTGCTTATGAAAGCAAATAACCAATAACCCAGACCAGTTCAAACCCACTGCAGGCATGACCCACACATGATTCCCCTACAGAGCTTTCTCACAGCATCTCAGTCCTGATATGCAGCACTGTTATGATCCTCCAGCTCTTCTCCACAGAGATTAACAGTCATAGTAATTGCCACCTGGATTATTTTAATTTATAGATAAATGTGTACTAAGCACTAGATTGAAATAATCTTTTCACTTACATGATCTTAATCATATTACAACCCTTGTTTACTGAAATGACTTAAATAAGTTCTGACATCTTCCCTGTCCCCATCTTACTGGTCATTTTATTTTAAAATTGTGCCTTCAGTAAATCTGCTCTGCTCCCATCTCTGAAAATTTTCATCTGTGTCCAAATCAATCTCCTAGTCCTCTAGTAGAATTTATCTTTCAGATATCACTGTTTCAAACTACCTGACCTTACTGACATCATTGTTATGCTAAATCATGACAGTAGCATTAATATGCATGTCTTCATTCTTTCATTTCTTTCAGCTTGTGTGGGTCCACATGGAGAGTCCAAAGCGGTGAGTATGAAAATCAGGTTTTGCCAAATCTTTTTAACAGGTTTGAGGAAATATACTTTTTGCAAATAGTCTGTCCCAATATTCTGCAAGCATCTGAATTCTCAAACCTATACTATTTTAAGAGAGATTAAGTTGCAAGTAATAGGTTCTTCTCTCTCTAAAGTTTCCATGACTCTCATAAAAAAATAAGGACAAATAGTATTACAGGTAATCTAAGATACTGGGAGCAGGGTGGGGGGTTAACGTTGGCATACAAAAGTTATTAGGAATAAAAAAATGGACAGAAGGAAAAGTAGTTGTGGCCAAAAACTTCGCAGCCCCAGTTCCTCAACTGCATAGTTTCTACTGGTCCCATTTTATTACCTAAGATGTAAGCCATTATTTCATGCAATACTTTTTCCCACATTCAAGGCACACAGGTAGATGCAGCATGCCTTCATATTTCCATCAAAAACTAAGAATGGACCAAAATATGTGGAGAAAGGCAATTATGCTCAGGGACCTTTGGGAACACGTGGATTCTTATAGTGTTTCAGGATTTTAGGTTCCTTTGTAAAAATTAAAGTAAATGAAAAACTTTGATGTCATTATGTATAGCTTATAGCTCTGAATAAATCAACTACAAACAGATGATTCTCTTCTAAGCAATATTTTTTCTGTTTTTCCAGCCTGGAACAACATGGGAGAGTGATTGCCAAGACTGTTTCTGTGACAACTCCACTGTTAAAGTGCACTGTGAACCACACAAATGTCCACAAGTCAGTCCAGTGTCTTGTGATAAGGCAGGGTATGTCCCTGTGGAAACATGGACAAAAGATGACAAATGCTGTCCCCATACCAAATGTTGTAAGTAGTCTCTCAACTCTTTCACGTGAGAAATGCAATGTTTTTGTGTATGCACAAAAAACTAGAACACTTAGTTTCAAAATGATACCTTTTATTAGACCAATTGGAAAATGGCAAGAAAACTGTCCTTTTCTGTAAGCTTTCGGGATATTTTTTGTGTGGAATTTGGGGATAACTTTTCAGCATTTGAGGCGTTGCTTCAGTTACTGAGTGGTCACTTCCCCTATCCCAGTTGTTCACAGCATTTATTAGAAGCCTGAAGGGAACACCTTGAAAAATAAATACAATTCCTTTCCCAGACAGATTTTTTTCTGTCAACACAAGGAAAACACAGGTGTCTACAGAATAGTCATTTCAAATTTCTAAGCATTTTAACTGTTGGAAAAAACAAATTGTGTCACCACTAGAGGTAAATATTAACAATGCCACTGAAAACAAAAAAGCTTCACTAAAAAAAAAAACCCTTTCCCATGAGAAAATGCCTAAGCCATTTCACAAGATCTCGAAAACTCTGGAAAACTTCTTTAGAGGTTTCATGAAGCTTCATGAAGTCCTAGAAGTCACCAGATTTTCACATCCTTATATATTTTCATTCTCAAGTTTCTCTTTGATTTTAGGAAAAGAAGTTTTCGCTAATCCACTCTCCTAACCTTTAAACCCGTTCCTGTTAAGAATTAAGGTTAAAAGTACAGCTCATTACCTTTAAAAATGTAAAGGCTAAACAGAGGGTTATCTTCCCATCTCCCAGGCTACCCTGCATACATGTGTGCTCGTACAGCTGTAGTGCTCACTATGCATGAGAAACCTAAGAAATGCTTGTTCATACAATACCAAATATTCTGTAATTAAATATGATGATTTTCCCCCCCCCCATCTTATACAGGCTGCAACATCAGCTTTTGCCCTGAATCCATAAAGAAATGTGAAACGGGCTATGAGCCATATTTAGAAATTTTAGAAGGAGGTTGCTGTTCTGTCCTTAGATGCAGTAAGTACCAGGCTTTTTTTATTGTGCATGAACCAGCCGGTAAAATTGTTATTTACTGGATAGGGCTGCTAAAGCTTATTCAGTAGACAATATTGTTGAATAAAACACTGAATGCAGCAGGGTAAAAATCAGTTGCCTTCTGTTATCAGATTTTGTCAACAAAATGACCAGTAACTTTTCAAATCTTTCTTCTTCTTTAAAAAAACAAACCCTAAACTTGGCACTATATTTGTTCTCCCTTACAGCAAATGCATCAGGCTGTGTACTCAATGGAAATGTCTACTCAGTAAGTATATATGCAAATATTTTGAAATTTATCAGCATATAATAAAATAAGAAAAGTTTTTTTTCAGAACTCTAGAAGTGGCTTGAAGTATATGTTCTTTGCACAAGGCCAGAGACAATCGTAATTTATGATGTCATCAAAAAACAACATTCCACACTCCCCTGTGCAAAAAAAGGCTTTTCCTGCTACCTGGGTTGCCTCTGTACAAAAGAATTTTTTCTCCCCCCAATATAAGTTATTTCTGTCACCATTATCAGATACTCTGGCTAAGAAAAAATGTGGTCACATTTTCCACGCATGTACAATAAACCTGTTGAGGGAGAACTCCATGTTCTCTTGCATATGTACCTTCACTCAATTAATAGCAAAACCAATAGATTGTTTACACCCGACTTGATCCCCCTCCAAACCAGATTTTCACCATATCTAGCTTGTTCCCACTAAATCTTTTGCATAATTGCTTAATGGTACTTCATAAGATATGGAGTGGGAAATGATGTAAGCTTGAATTTGCATGGATAAAATTAGACTCTTCATTCTATTAATGACTGGAGCTTACAACAGTAATGCTATTGCTAATGCTACAGAAGTCAACACAAATTATACCCATATTTGGACACTGAGGATTTTTAACCAGTCTTTTGCAGAACAACAAAACCAAGGCAACTGGAAGATGTTTTTACAAAAGAACTCATCTGTAGATTTCTATTAACTTTTTTTTTTTTAATGTTAATTACTTCTAGGCTGGAATGTCCTGGTACTTTCCTGATAGTAACTGTACCTCCTATGAATGTAAAGAAAACAATGGTCACTATGTCATTGTCACAAGAAATAAATCTTGCGTTGCCTTGAATCCTGAAGACTGTGGACCAGTAAGTGCTTCTCCTCTAATTCTCATTTTCATTTAAATAAATTGAATAGACAAAGGCTAGGTGGGCAAAACAACAGTTTTACCAAGTTCAAAGGACTACATCTGAGTACAGGCATTGTGCTACGCAGCTCTTTTTATATCCCATCTGAATCTGAATTTTACTTTAGCCAAAAAGCAAATAAATAAAAAGTTAAAATGTGAAACAAGAATAAAACATACTACAAACAAACAAATTACATAAATCAAGCATTCTTGATGCACTTGTGATTAAAATTGATTATTTAGATCATGTGGCTTTAAATATGTCCTCCCTAAGCTATGCTATATTTCTGTATACAGTAGAGAGGACAGTAGTGTGTAGTAGAGGATGCGACATTATAATAAAGAATGGGATTTTCAAAAGTTTCATGTGTCCTAACAGCATGCCATTTGTGGAACCGGCCTTTGGAATCATGCAGGTGCCTTGGAAAAGAATCACAGTTTAGGAGACAGAGAAGGGGGAACAAATTTTGAAGGGAATTCAATTGAACTAATTCAACTCAATAAAGATTTCAGGGCTGATTGGAACCAGGTCCACAAAGGACAGTGGGAAGTCAGTATTTTATTAACTATTTTGCGAATGCTCGTTTTCCTGCAGTATTCTAGTGTCTCAGAATATGGTCCATTTGCAGCATGTATGTAGTGTTCAGAAGTTGTGTTGCTGTGTGCAATATTAGAATGCTAAACTCTGAGGACAGGAGGGGGAATCAAGTACCACTTCAGGCCAACCTGTGAAGAAACTTCTTATTAATAATGTATTAATATAGTACTCATTACCCCCTGTCTTTAAACTGCCTTTATACCCTGCTTTAGAATAAGCACCTGTATCAGTGAAGATCACTGATCCCTGCTACCACCAAAGAAACTCAGGAAGCAGGGAAGCTTCCTGCTTTGATACACAGACACTAATTCTGAACCTTTTCCCTCTGCTTCTCCATTCTAGGAGGGAGTCAAATTGTCTGAGGATGGCTGCTGTAAAGTATGCGCAACACCACCCAAAGGTAAGTCAGGCTAATTTTGTGGTGCAAACAAAATGTGCAGCATAGGAAAACAATGTCTTTAAGCAGATTAGCCATTTGAGGTAGTTGGTGAATAGGTACAGTGGATAAGAAAATGTGGTTTGAAGCAGAATTAATGCCTGTGAGTTTGAGAAGTATGCCTACTATCGGGGTGAGAAAGGAGACTATGGGGATAGGATATTTCCAGTACCTGGCTACAACTCCTTTGAAAACATGTAGCATTCACTTACTAGCTCTGCTGCTATATTTTAACCATTAGGTGAAAGGGACAAGGCCTTGGTTATTCTCTAACCTGCCTGGATACAATCATCTTGAGCAAATAGAATTGCATTTGAAATGTGCTGGTGAACTGTTGATTCTGCCCATGCCCTGTACCAGTGGTGCAAATGAGGAAGGGAGTACCCTCAAGCAGTAAGAACTACATGTCATTACAACAGGTGTCACAATGGCATTTCAGCTCCACCTTCTCAGATTTCTAGCAGTTATTGTCTATGGCAAATATACATCAATCTTCACACAACATTTTTACTTATTTTCAATTATTTCCCTTTGTTTACTGAAAATCCAGGTTGCAAGCTACAGAATACCACTACCATCATCAACCAGAGTGAATGCACAGCTACTGTACCTATTGAGCTAACATACTGTGAAGGAAACTGCCCTGCTTCTTCAATGTAAGTGGTACAGGCTCATTACTCACCCTACTTGTATATCATTGTCTTTGTGGCCTCCTCCATTACACTGGTGACAGGGAGCAAATTAGCAATGCCTTTCTAATACATCCAATATCCATCCAGCAAGCAGGTGTTTATTTCTGCTGTGTTGACTTGAATATTGAGGTTAATCACCTTCAGACCTATCAGTTATTAATAGATGAAAGCTTGATGGCAGAATGAATACAGCCTTTAGCCTCTGAGGACCCAGGCTGAGGATTTGCCCCTGAAAAAATGAGGTTGTTGATCTCAGTCTGTGTATGTGAACTGGCTGGATATGTGACTTCTTCATGCCTCAGTTTTTCATCTACCTGTAAAACATGCCTAGTAATATTTGCTCATCCATGTACAGCACTGCGATTTTTGCTTGAAAGCAGCAGTATAAACGCAAAGTCTGCACAGGCAGCCAATTTCTGCCACCCTTATATTTAGTACTAACCTTCTTCACATACAGCTCCACCAATAATCACATTTCACACAGTGTTGTAACAGGGGTAATATCAAATAGGCTTTCAAAGCACATATACAGCATTTGGCAATATTTAGCAAGGGGTATGAATTTAGATTCTGGATTTTGTACCAGTTTCTCTAAGTTTTTCTTTGTTGTTTGTTTTGCTTTGGGACCAATCAGATATTCTGCTGAGGCGAACATGATGGAACATACATGCAAGTGTTGTCAGGAAGTCAAGACAAGCAAAAAACATGTGACCCTGCAGTGCCGTAATGGAACCAGCATCGACTACTCGTACATCCATGTGGATGAGTGTGGATGTGTGGGCTCCCAGTGCATCCCACAAAGCAGTCATACCATCCCAGCACAGGTACAAGAACAGCAGCAACAGGAACAGATCCGGCAGCAACAATGGCAAGGCTAAAACCAAGAAACAGATGAAAGAACCAAAGCCAGGAAGAGCAGAATATAGACTGAAATAAATCTTCTCTAAAGCAGCTAAAATTTTGGTCATACAGATAAAGTTCTCTCTATATATGCTAAACATTTCTGTTTCCTAATTATTTCAGCTTCCACTAACAATTCATCTCATTGCTTTGAGAATCTTTTCCTTGCAACTTGAGAGGTTCTAAGATAAGGAAATCTTGAGGTTTGTTTTTTTCTGAGTGATGCTGTACAATAAGACCGATACTTTTCCTTTGATGCAGTGAAATCAAGTTAAATTTTACTGTAACTATTTTCACAGCTCTTATAGAAAACCTTTGCCACAAGCAGTAGTCTCTTTTTTTTGGCTTTATTTTTCTTTACTGTGACTGTGCAAGTCCAAGCATAAAATAAACATCACTGTGTAGTTAATGAAGTTTCACTAGCCACAGTCATTACAGTGTGTTCCATACCAACTTAAAAACATTTAATCATTTCGCTGAAGTAAACTTACTACTGTTAAACCTGCTTTCATCCCAGCAATGTCAGCAATCTACACCAGAAAAAATACAAACTTTATTTTCCTCCCTTTTTTTATGTGAAAGAATGTACACGGTAGAAACTGCATCATCTTAAACCTTCAAACTTTCAAGATTGTGGGTGATTTGTAATGGGTAGTTTTCCATCAATATTCTTGTGGAAAGAAAGAAAGAAAGAAAGAAAGAAAGAAAGAAATCCTACCATGCAAAGCTGCTGCAGAATATTCTCTGTTTACATGAAATTATCAGCATAGTAATGATATGAAAATTTGAACATTTTTATTACAAGTTCTTGGTTAACTGTTTACAAGAGAAGTATATATATTTTTGTCAAAAGGGGCATATGAAGGATTTTTTAACAAAAGTAATTATATTAATATAAATTCTTTCCAAGGAAGCTGAGTTTTTTTTTTAATGTTTTACTATTGCTATTTATTTTGTTTTTGGAAAAATAGGTGTATTGGGCTATAAACTTCAGCAATAATGTTGTCCCCACTTTGTAGCCTCAGTGCATATCTGGGTGTGGGATATTTTCTTTTTTCTATTTTGTTTTGGTTTTGGGGGGGTTTTGGGGTCTCTTTTGAAGGAAAGTGATGATGATGATGATGATGATTAATAAACTTTAAGCATTTTGCAACTTTTGTATCTTTAGATTTTTGTATTTCACTAAATCCCCTACATGTGCAATACAATATTTTTACCCTTTCCTACCAGCCCCAGTTCAGAGGTCCCTGCACGTCATGATACCTGACTCCTGATATGGCACTTGATAAGCCACTCTGCGTGCTACAAGTTTGGTGGCAAAAACCGTAAGGGCTCTAAGCACTAGGGCCACCAGAAATCAGCTTGATATATACATATTTGTAAAAATATGCTGCATGTTCCTAAACCCAGCTTTCTCAGATTTTAAATCCTGAAATAACCAAGCCAAAAGTCTTCTTGTGCCACTTTTGCCATTTTACAGCAGTTTAGTAGATGCAGAGTGCTGAATGACTTCAATGACATTTCATTTGGACACAGCCCTCAAAAACAAGTTGTATATCACCTGAACACAGCCCACATAATGCCAATTTTTCTATATGCCACTATTTAAGAAATGATCCTTTGGACCATGGGTCCAAACATAAACAAACCAGATAATTCAGAGGTGGGCAAAATACAGCCCACAGGCCACATCCGGCCTGCCAGGCTATTTTATCCAGTCCACAGTGCCCCTCCAAAAAACAAGTATTACCAGCCTGTAGCTGCCCCTCTGAAAGCCAGCAGGAGGCAGGCTTTCAGAGGTTACACGCCATCAGAACAGGCAGGCTCTGTGTCTCCACCCCCTGGGGCTCCCGACACTCCAGCTATAGGTCCCCCCACCACACCCACCTCCATGGCACAAAGCCCCCACCACTGGCAGCAGGCAGAGGGCCTTTGGGGCACTCATGGCCTGTGGCATGCAAAGCCCCCAGCAATGCGTGGCTCATACTGAACCTCAAGAGCTGCATGTGGCAGCATGAAGCTAGTCTGGCCTGGCCCACTGACATACACCTTCAGGCCAGACTGGGCTGGCTCTGTGCCAGCACATGAGGCTCCCGGCACTGCAGGTGGGAGCCGTGTACCATCAGGCTGTGTCAGGCTGACTCCATGCCTCCATGTGGGCCTTCCAGTACTCCAGCAGGGAGCTGCACAAGGAGGCACGGAGCCAGCCCGACCCAACCCAGCCTGGCCTAGCAGCATACACTCCTGGCTGCAGTGCCAGGAGCCCCATGTGCTGCCATGGAGGCAGACCTGCCAGCCCAATGTCATGCAGCTCCTGGAAGGAGAGCCAGGAAGGTGTACGTGGTAGCACAGAGCCTACCTCACCCAATAGTATGTGGACTGGGAGCCACAGACAGTCACATGCCATCGGGCTCCATGCCCACACCCCCAACAGTCTCCCACACAACCCCACGCACATACCTACATCCCCACACAACCTCCCACAAGCCCCACACCCAACCACACACGCACCAACACCCCTTCACAACTCCCCCACACACCCCCGCAAATCCTACACCCACCCTACCAATGAGACCCCACACACAATATGCAAGAGTAAGACTTTATTTTGAGCTATTATGCAATCACCTCTAAATACACTGTGCAAACACACATAAATCAGAACAAAAAAATGTTTTGAAATAAAATTAAACTGTTATAGTAGATGTTTGAATTTTATTATATGATTTGCTGGTTTTTTCCAGTTCCAAATGGCAACCCCTCCCCGACCAAAGGAGTGTTTTGGGGGGGGG